GATGTATGTGGTGTGAGAGAGGATACAGATATTAAATGAGGAGAAAACATTTCAAAATATTTTGGATCTCACATGAGTAGGAGGGATGTCCTATTCAACTCTTGTTACAGCCGGAACTGACAAAAATCAGATGTCTGCAATGAAAATTTTGCTGGAGGATACAAACTGCCTGCAATTCACCTCTTACGAAAATGGGAGAAAATTAACAAATTATATACACAAAAGTTGTCTCAAGGCAACATACTGTCTTGCTAAGCATTAAGTTTGCCAAGAAATCCTTGCGGCACCTAGGAATGACTGAAATGCTCGCAGTGCTTTCTAGGAGCTAGGAGAGCAAAGGTCATTGCCTGAACCACATTTTGACAAGATGAAGAACCTGAACAGGGCAATTTTTACGTGACAGCTAGCTTTAAGAAGTGAGCTCTGGACAGCACCTCCCAGTGTTCCCAGCTGTTACCCGGAAAAGAAGGCTTGAAGTCAGGGCTTTGAGGAGGCTGTTGCACACTTCGTGAGGACCCTGGCCTGGAATGTTCTGAATTTCTGGACTGAGGCTGGAGGGCCTCTGCAGCTATTCTCACCACTGTTTGAGGACACAATCCCCCACTGATTGGGGAGATTAATGGAGCCATGATGGTCCCACTCGTTTTGGGCAGGAGGTAGGAAATGGAAACTCACATTGTATTTATAGCACATATGATTGAGTACCTTATCGTAAAAATGGTCTGGTAAAAACCTTTTGGCAACTACTTATTTCATTAACATACTGACTGAAATAAGTCAGACTTTTGCGGTCAGTGTTATTTTAAGGCTCTAGTGAGGTATTACGTGCTTCTTCACTAAACAGCCCCAGACTGTAGTCCTTTTTAGATGCTTGGGACATATGGGAGAAAAAAAAGTTAATTCAGACATCAGTCTATCTACTGGGTTAAATTACAAATGATTTAAGCATTTAATAAAATTCAAAACCATAAAAGTACCTAAAAGAAAGAGCAACCTCAGAATAGAGAAAGACTTTCTAATGATGACTCAAAGTCCAGAAGCCAGAAATTTATGGATAAGTTTGATTCTACAAAAGCAGCAGCATAAACACAGGTAAAAGGCAAACCACAGATTAGCAAAATATTTTTGCAATCCATGTTGCTGACACGAGATGTCCCTCTCAATTACAAAAAGACCAACAAAGCAAAAGAAGGATGAGCAAAAGAATATGAACAGTTCACAGGAAAATACATATGACACAAACATATGAGAGATGCTCTACTTTACTTTTAAGAGCAAACACATTAAAACTACACAGAGACACCATTTTAATTCACCTGAGGTTAGCAAAAACACCGAAATTTGACAACACAGTGTGCTGGGGAAGCTTTAGGGAAATAAACAGGCTCCTGCATGGCCGATAGAAACCCACCTTGGTGTCCCTCTGGGGAGGACAATGTGGCACCATCAGTCAAAATTAAAATGTGTGGAGCTTGTGATACCACCCATTTCGTGAATTTATCCTACAGATAGACTTATCTACTTGAAAATGATACATAAGGTTATTCACCACTGTATTGTTTATATTAATGAAAGACTGGGAACAACCAAAATGACAGCCACAGGGGACTGGTTAAGTAAATCACAACACATCTATACAGAGGACTACCATGCTGCTGTGAGAAAGAATGAGGAAATTAGATGTGCATAGAGAAAAATCGCGTTAAGTGAAAAGTGCAAGGTTTATGACAGTGTATATACATGGTTGTACTGTGTAAAGGGAGATAAGGGGACACAGACTTATATTTACACATACACACACAAAACAATGTCTGAAAGAACACAGAACAAACTAATAGTAGTGGTTACCTATTTGCGAGGAGGTGCAGAGCAAGGTGAGTGGGTGATGCAATAGCGATCTAGGAGTATATATAATTTTAAACTTTTCAATTTTTGAGTCGTGTCAAGTATTACCTATTCAAAACTTAATCACCTTTCTTGAAAAATTAAATACATGGGTCTGATTTTAATCTTATTTTCTTCTCCCTTCTGGGGGGATAATCAGCTACAACTTCTTGCAGCCATTGTCCTGCTTTTAGCGATTTTTGCAGGCCCTTCCTCCCGTGGTGAGAGTGGGCTGTTTCAATCAAGTGAGGTTAGACAAAGGGGTAAATGGATACTGCCCATAAGTGAACGCGCATAGGCTTTGCAACAGCTGTTTGAAATGTTTGGAGGGGTGCTATTTAGGCAGCTTTTTGGGCTTTTCTCATGATTCCCTGCCACATTTTGGATGGAGATGTAGGCCACGAGAGGAAAAGAAAGTGGACAGAAAGAGGCAAAGGTGGGAGATGAGAGGCTGATTTCCCCTCAGTCACGCCAGCCTCCCCAAGCAGCCTGGCAGAGGAGGGAGGGACCACCTGTCCTCCCCAAGGCTTTTTATAGATCAGTGGACGATGGAACTGAGTCTGGTGGCTGCCGCAAAAGCTGCTGGGATGGATTAGGATGGAGTAGCGGGAGAAGAGGAGGGAATGGGCTGGTGGTCTTCAGTGTAAGAACCCTTAGTAAGAATGAGGAACTGTAGGCTCTGAAGGAACAGAGTAGGGCAGGGTAGCCAGCATAAGGAAGAGCAGAGACTTTGAGCCCCCGGAGGACTAGATCTAGGTCTGGCCCATCTCTTCACCATGGAGTAGTGAGAAGAAGTATTGCTCTAGTCCCAGGTGACCAGGGTGGTAGTCCCAACTCAGCCACCTAAGCAGGGCAGCCTAGCCAAGGAACTTCTCAGAGCCTCAGTTTCCTCTTCTCAATGAGGTGATATCTTTCACACACAAAGAATTTTACATAAACTATCTCATTTAATCCTCACAACCACCCCATGAAAAGAAACTATCATTAGACCCAGTTTTTAGATGACGAAATTGTGGCTGCCTCGATGTCCTGAATTGACTCAAAACGTTTACCTCTCATGGTCATTTTGACTTTGGGGAAGAGCCAGAAGTCACACGATGCCAGATCTGGTGAATAACGTGGACGAGGACACACCGTAATGTTTTTATTGGACAGAAATTGCCATACCAGGAGGGATATGTGACACAAAGCCTTTCCATTGTGATCACAAAATACTGCTGCCGAGTGCCATCCAACGGAAGGCAGGGATCTTCAATACAGGAAGTGGTACATGCGACCTTAGTAACAGTGTGTGACAAGTTTCAAGTTGTTTGGTGCAGTCAGTTGGGTGTGAGCTATGGTTGAGAGAGGGTGTGTTTTAAAGTGTGCCATAAATCATCCTCCATTATGACAATGCTCCGGGTCACACATCGCTTCTGGTATATGGCAATTTCTGTCAAATAAAAACATTACAGTGTGTCCTCATCCACCTTATTCACCGAATCTGGCACCGTGCGACTTTGGCTCTTCCCCAAAGTCAAAATGATTCAGGACATTGAGGCAGCCATGACAATGCAACTAAAGACACTCATGAAAGAGGACTTCTAGAACTGCTTCAGAAAGTGGCATGAATGATGGGATAAGTGTGTTCGAAGTGAGGGGGAAAATTTTGAGGGGGATTAATGGCAATGTGTCTTTTACTGTAATAATTTTTTTTTTAATTTAAACATTCACCATATTGTTTGATCACACCTTGTACACCTGTAACAAGCCCAATCCCACAATGGGGGCCAACATGAATTAAGAGTTAATACAGTCCATGGCTAAGATATCATTTCGAGAGAGGACTTGGAAATTGGGTGTGCATTTACCTTTGTGCTGTCCATGAGGTGATGCTGGCTTTTTAAAGAGTTACAGTAAAAAACCCATTATATTTGTAACGGACTAGCCATTGACATGATGTCCAAGGCTCTCTCTCTCTCTTTCAAGATTAGATCTTTAGATCTATACAGAGGGGTTTCTATTTCAGGTTCACCCTTGGAGCTTTGAAAATGGATTAGATGTTGAAAACTTCATAAGTAAAAAGAGATCAGAGAAAGAATAATTGTATTACCAGTGTCAGCCATTATTGCCTTTCCCTACAAGGCCAAAATTGCACTGTATGGCTCAAAAGAAGATAGATCATAGAGTTTCTCATTAATCTTTCATAATTCTTGTACTATACCTTCTCAGATCTCATAGGTATACCTGATTATAGTGAATGGATATTGAAAATTTCATCTCAATAATCTGATTTACCTCCAACCAATGGAGACAAATCATTCCTTGTAAAAACCCTAACATAAATTCTACAAAATTGGTTCATTGAAAGTAATGAGGGACTACTTGCAATATTGATTAGTGAATTATCCTAACTGGCAATTTAATATTAAAATATTAATTACCATCTTAAATGGAGTTTGCCTAGATCAGCCTTACAGAAATATTACCAAGAGGCTCATGTGTGGTGATTAAGATTGCATAATCATAACTTCTAAAGGTTTATTATAAATCTTTCCAGGACAATAATTTTTCCAAATATTCAGGCTATCTAGAATGCATGCATTTTTAATTTTATAAAAAAATGTCATCCTTCTTATGAAAAACACGTGACATACCCCCCTTTGCTCACTTCTCTCTTCCCCTCCTACTCTTCTTTACTAGCTTTTCTACAAAGGCAGGCTTCTAAATGATATTTTTCACTCGTACAGCTAAATTCATGCATCATGTTTTGAAATTAAACTCTCAAACATGCGAACATCTGAAATTTTGGAAAGAAAATGGGTGCAATAGACATACAGACAAACATAGAACACCCCCAGTATGTACCATCCTAGAAAAAAAAAAACACCCCCCAAAACTGCAAAATAAAGCAAAGCAAGCACACGCAGGACATACTTTAACTGGTACCAGCTACCCGCAAGCTGCATTGGTATGTCAAGTAGCTCTCCCCACTTTTGGGAGATGAGTGGGGTAGAAACAGGTGAGTTTCAGCATGTGCTGTCTAGAGGACTTTAATCCCCATGGCAACAAAACACAAATCCGGCAAGCCAGTCCCAGCCAAAGAGACACCCCCCTTAAGCTTGACCGCCCCTCACCTGCTCCCCTTCTCTCCTCTCTCCCCAGAAGAAGGCACTTCATGGAAACGTCTGGGAAAGCCCTTCGACTTTATTTTGTTACACCCTCTAAATGGACAAAAAACAAAAGAGAACAGGTGTAGCAGACAGCACTTTCAATTGGCCACCAAGAGTTCCACACAAATGCCCTCCCTCCCATCCCCATCATTGGGATCCTTTGGGACATTTTCAAAAGAAAGCTTACACGCAAAGGTGGCTGGTTTTATTCAGGTGGTTGTTGTTTTTTTAATGCCGAGGTAAGAAATGTGACATGGGAACTTTGTTCTTAAAAAGCTGTCTTTATGTGTTAGAAACCTGTACCACCCCAGTATTAACAGAAGGTTAGATTACCACAAACCCAATAATGGTTTCTCCTTCATACACTTTATCTTTCCACCTTTGACATGCTGTCCTGGCAAACAGGATGGCTTAAAATAAAATACCATTGGCATGAATAGAGTTCAGCAGGCATCTAGGGGGTACCCTTTAAACCACTCTTTTGCCACAGATCTCTCTGAATTTGCTGTATTTTCCCCATGCATTCCTCTTGTTGCTGGGCAAACACTTTCCTGATTCACAGTGCAGATTGTGGAAGACGTGAGAGAGGCAACCTCAGCAGTTGTCAAGTTATTATATACACTAAGTGGATATTTCGTTTCCCCTTACAACTTAAATAACCACAGCAGCTGACACCGGGCTCTAACATTTGAAAGATGCGCTTCTGTCACACAAGAACACACGAAAGTGTTTATTTAATTTTATTTACTCCCCTCACCACCTGGGCTCTGGGATTTCACACTGACACGATTCACTCCTATTATTTCCAAACTCGGTTAACAGAACAGCTGAGACAAGCCCGGCCGCATGGAGGTTCTCTCTGGGGAGCTCTGGCAAGTCCCATGCAGGACTCTGAATTCAGGTACGCAATTCCAAAGAACCTTTGTTAACTTCCAATTGACTTTTTGCTTCTAGGAATGAACATCCTCTAATTCTCAAGTGTTAAGTTTTTCTTCTCCCTTAATGCAAGTTTTCATTTATTTTGATAATTATTAGGCTCCATACTGGGCAAAAGTGCTTAGCACAGGAGCCAAAATAAGGAAAAATCAAAACCTGGGAATGTGATTAAAAAGTGGGTGGGTGGGCGGTAATTCAGCGCTTCCTGTCTCCCTCTATTGAGTACAGTCAGGAACTACAACAACTGCCCTCACAACGCTGGGAACATATTCAGTGCGGCTACAAACATTAATCTGAAGACATCGCAAGTGTGTTGCAGTGTTTTTGCAAATTTTCATAGAAACTTGAAATTTGCAGCTTTCTAAAATATTTAGACTTCTTCTCAACCCTTCGCCCTAGTCTGAATCCTGCCAGATTCACTCTTGCGGGGATTTTGGAGCAGAGCCGGCTATCTCCGCAGTTTTTCCTCACACACAATCACAGGCGCTTAGAACTACCACTCGTAAACTGACAACACTTTCCTGAGAAGCAAATGCCATGAAACCAATAACTAATATCTCAAATAACTGATGGGGCTATCTGAGCAAACAGACAGAACAGACACAATCAATCCTGGGAGAGAGGACAGTTAATTCTAAGAAATCCAGAGGTAGGTGTTGGTGATGGAGAATCGACCGAACATCGTTTCCCTTTCCTGAAAAGTGAGCTTGATTTAAAAATGTATCCATCCATCCACTCCTCCTTTACCAGAATCAGTCCATCTTTAAGTATCATAGAGTATGTTTAAATGGCAACCTTTATAGTGAATCTCTCCCTGCTTCTGTCTAATGACTACGTGTTAGCCTGTTCCAAGAGCTTCGACTGGTATCTCAGGGCCAACGTGACAGCAGGGGGCCGGTTACTATAACAACTGACAGTTCTCTTGAATTCTGAAAGGCCCCAGAGTAGCCATTTGGGAAAGTTATTGAGCAAAAAGTTGCCTGGGATCTGCAGCATTGGCTGGCACATGACCCAGATCTCCGTGCGCACATGGCTGCACGGAGAAAGAAAACAAAGGTGCCTACCTCCAGGAAGCTGGGGAAATCAAAAGGCTCCCCACCTCCATGTCTTTTAGCGTCTCAGAGCAAGACAGTTTAACGCCAGTGTCGTTCTGAGCCCAAAGCCTCTGAGACAAGCCGTATTTTGGCACCATGATATGAGCGTTAGCTCTCCCCACTGGCTTGACTCACTGTCAGGCTTTGAAGAGCTGAACTGTAAAAATTATTCCTAATGGTAAAAAAATATATATTGAAATTCAGCCACAGATACCGGTTCCAGAAAGACACGGCACTCACCACTTTTAAAAGGAAAAATCAAGCCCAGAATATCTGTGGTCCCATGAATGGTTTGTTTGCAGAAAAGACAATAGTGATCATACAAACCCACCAAACATTATGACTTGAAAGCTTGGATTTTTCTAGACTTGAGAAAAGTTGTATATAAATCTACCTTTTGATTCTTATTCCCTCCCTTGAAGGAGCCACACAAGAGCAGCTGGGACTAACCCAGTGCCTTTGCACGTGCAGAATCCCCTGGGAAAGCATTTGATCCTACCCATACAAACGAACTTTCTTTTGTAGAGAGGAAGGGCAGTTTGAGGGCGTTTTCTCTCTGGCAATACTGAGCATACCACGACTGAGTGCCTTTTGGTCAGCTCTGACAGTTCCCTCTGCCCGGAGAATTTGTCGCTTTTCTCTGCTCTGTGAAAATCACAGCAAAACAGTCTCTCCCCTACGCAGCCTTTCCTGGCTCCATCTCCCTCCCACCCCTCCCTGGTGGTGGTGAGTCCTTCCCAGAACAGTCTCTTCGTTTCTCACCACCCACCACTGTAACTCAGGGGAACTGTTGACACAGGCCAGGCCGGGGACTTCGTGGAGGGCAGAGGCTGGCAGACTGTCGAGAGGGTGCCCCTCAAAAAGGGGCTGTCGGTGAGCTCCGTCCAGCCCACCAGTGCCACACAGCTGTGAGAACCCTGTTGCCAACTCTCCCAATTTACCACATGAACAGACAGCTGGGGTTTTAGGTAAAATCTTCCTATTTTCAAAATAACCCTGATTTTTGAAAACAATGCTGGCTAAATAACACAGGTCTGGAGGCCACCGGTTTTTGACGTGGGCTTGGGATAATCTTTGTTTACTGGCTCATCTTTTGCATTAACCTACAAGCTCCTTGAGGACAGTACCTCCATCACCTCACTGAATCCCCGTCCCTGCCACAAACTAGGTGGTTAAGAAATGTCTCTGAATGACTGAACAACGGAAGGAATACATGGGCCAGCCATAAAAGCTCTTAGGTCAATAAAACAAAACCCTAGGTGTGAGTACCTCCAAAACATACTTGCTGTGTGATCCTGGGCAAGTCATTTTCCTCTGGAAACTTCTTCCCTTGGGAAGAAGGTGATGCAGTCCCGGCCACCTTGGCTCCCACATCTGGCTGCTAGGAGGATTAAATAACGTAATGGGTGCTTTGTATTAATTCAAGCATTAATGTTGTGATTAGTGATGTTCAGTCACCTGGAGTCGAAGAGGACCACATGCCTAACCCAGACCTAGTCATCGTGAGCAAGCTTGGAAGTGTCAGCTGCCGGAGCAGATGGGCGGACAGTGTGCGCCTGGCCCATAGCTCTGAGTGTCACTGTTGCTCCTGGGGGAATACAAGCGGGATCTGCGTTCCATCGGGGCACATGTGGTCAGTCATTCCACGAGCACGAAAGGGGTGTTACCACAGCCCACACTTGACTTTCGCACGCATCTGTTTGTTTGCCGGAGTCTCCATTATGCTAACACAAACCCCACACACATTTGCGGTTTGCATCCCTTCGTATTTATTACACTATCTCCCCGTGAACATCCAGGGAAGAAAAAAATTTGTAATGTCAACAAAACTCTCATGTTTTCATGAACAGCATTCTTAATGAGGAGGCATCGACACATGGCAAAATTTCTGAAAGTCTAAAGATGGGAGGAAAAGAGAGACCTTTTTCTGTCTGCCTCTGAAGCTAAATCGGTATGGACTGATTTACCGCAGGATTCACAGATGGCTCGGTCATGTGCTGAGGAGGGGCTTGCATTTCTCAGTCAGAGCGTGAAATCCTTCTAATACCAAACTTGAACAAACCTGTGTCAGATGTTACAATTCCCACTTCAGAGTCTCCAGTTTTCTGTTCCAGAGTCTGTGTAATTAGCTCAGTCCTAACTGAATCTGAGAAGCAAAGCTGCTCTACCTTTCTGGAAAGTTCTTTTCCAGGGTGGAATTACGGTCAATAAGAGGCATAACGTCTCATCAAGGTAATACAGCACTGATCAGCTGACACTAAGATAAAACAAATAGGTTATATTATTCCACATAAAAATCTATTCAGCTTCTAGAATACCTGAAAATACATAGTTGGTTCTCTTAAGTTTTCTTCCACATGATTGTGGTAAATCCAAACCATAGGATCTTTTTGACACACAAACCTGTACTATAAAAACAGGCTATGGAAGGAAGTAAATGCCTCCCGGCATGCCACACCTCAGTCACGGCATCGTGTTGCCTAGGTAAGACAGTGGGCTATGCAGTCACGTTCGTGGGGTTCAAACCCAGGATCCACCAAAAATTAACAATGTGACTGGGTCACGCCACCTGATGATCTTACCAAGCCTGTTTTCTGATTTTCTGATCTTCGAAATGGATGTAATAATTTCCAGGATTTAAATGTTGATCACAAGTCTGGTATGGGGAATATTAAATACTTTTCTTGGCTCTGTGGGCCTTATGATAAATAAAGCCATTTCAGGGGGGAGACTTTGCTGATCAGAGAGAGAAGAGCTACATTCAAAACAATTTTCCTCAAGATTACAGGAAAAAAACACACACAAATTACAAAAGCTTTCACCAACACTCACCATTTTAAGTGGACACTAATATCTTGCTCACAGGAGCTAAGCTATTCTATGGAAAAAATTAACAAACAAGGGGCATGCTGATCAGACACCCTGAGCATAGCTCTTCTCCCAGCATCTACCTCGAGTTATGCAAATCAGAAAGAAACCTTCCCCAAAATGTCTTCTTTTAGAGCGGCAGCAGCTATGCTACTCCATCCAAGTCTCTTCAGGAACGTGAGGACACTGGTGCACATCAACGGCTCATGGTGGGTCAGGCAGGGGACCCAGAGCTCTAGGACAGCACTTTCTGACTGTGGTCATTCAAAAGGTGTGTTCTGCTATCACCTGGAGCAGTAAGGCCAAAATGACACACTTCAACGACAATCACGTTGATTTCTTCTCCCTCATCTCAAGAGTAAGTATTACAGCTCTGAACCATCATTGCATGGTTACACAGGGCACTGTTTGCAAAAGGAGGCAAGCTGTTAACGTGAAGTGGATTTGCGCTGATTTTGTCTTTGGTAGCTGCCCCACAATCCTGACCTGGCCCTTGTCCCAAAACCCTTGGCACATATTTCTTCCTAGCTGCACAGCGACTTCTGCATTGTCATGGATTTTGGCTCTTACATCTCTTTAAGGCAGAGCACTCAAGAGAGAATTACAACATCTTACCTATAACAACATCTCAGCTAACAACATTTTAAAATAAATTTCTCCCACAAATCCATGTTGCTGCCTGTGAAAATACCACTCAAAACGTCCCTAGTGGGCCTCTGCATATCTTCCAGTTGACAAAAAAATATCCAAGGTCTCTACCTGTATTTTTTAGTTTGGGTCAAATATGAGGTGATGAGACTCATGATTGTCCTCCAAAATTGTCCCTTTCGGGAAACATACTCTTAACCCAATGACACCCATGTGTCTAAATACTCCCGGATCCGTGTGGCAGTGCTCACTGAATTCTTGTGTGCTTCTGTATCTTATCAGTGTCCTCTGGGCTGTGTGACTCTCTCTGGCCAGTGAGGATCAAATGGGATTGAAGGATGCCCCTTCTGGGCCATGCAGTGGAGAGCTGAGTGTCTCCTCGATTTTCCCATCCCTGCTGCAGCAACTTGGCAGACATGTGTTCTAGAAAGAGGAACCACACGTGAAGGGGGGCTGCCCAACCCCATCAGACGTCATGTAGGTGAGAAAACCTTTGAGTTGTGAGGTCCCTGGGGTGTTGGGGTGTGTCTGCGAAATCAGTAATGACACTTACTCTGATACACCCAACGCTGACTGAATGAGGCTGACCATGGGGCGTCGAAGTTGTTTGGGGAGGGAAGCGAGGGTGGTGGTTAGGACATGTCTGTAACCTAGTGACTTAGGGACGTGCTCCTCTGAACCTGCCCTTGGTCCCATTGGGGGCATTGCCCAAACCCATTTCATCAACTTTCCATTCTGGCCCCAAGTGGGTCTGCTCAGTTGGTTCACCTACATCTATACTAAGCTCCAAACAAGTAACTTTTAGCTATTTCTAGGATATAGACTGTGTACAACTGAGATCATTCGAAGACTGAACTCTAGAAAGAAATTCCAAAAGTTATTTCCACAGATATGTGATTGGAAATTGTGTACAGCTCTACAATGTGATTACATTTAAGGGACAACATTCATTCAGATCTGTAAATCTGATTTTTCTATATTAAAGGACAACAACTTCCTTTTAGGCACATCACGACCCAGAATGAAGTTTGTATTTTCCTCTAAAGTCAGGTATAACAGGGCACCTGCCACTGAATATTCATACAGCCATGCACTGGGAGAAGCACTTTCATAGGTCACGGGAACCCAATGGTGCACTTTTAACTCTGTCGGCAGGTGAGGAAAGTGGTGAATGGGTCTTCTCTAAAGCAGTGTTTCAGTCTGTTTTTCCCCCGCTATTGGCTCCTCTGCTTAAAGGGCCTTTTAGGTGTTTTTTCCCTAACTGCGACCTCCCAATGAAATTTTAATACCAGTAATATACTGTATATCTGTGCATGTACTATATGTATATCTGTGCTTTATACACACACAAGAGTAAGTTTTCTCACCTCCTAAGAACCCATTTTTTACCCCTTTGGGGATGACTACACTCCTGTTAACAATCCATGCTCTAAGGCGACACAGGCGTGAGTGAGAGTGAGTGGTGGGGCTTGGCTCCAGACCCAGGCTCTGCCCGGGCCCAGGTTCCCATTTCACACTGCGCAGTCTTGCCTCTTTCTCATCTGGCCTTCCCGCAGTTTCAGCTCCTTCGTGCCTTTTCATCCCTAAGGATAAGGCACATATCCCTGCAGGTGGCACCCATGGCCTTCGCGGTCTGGCCCTTGCTACCCCCACACTTCGTTCCTGTGATACTGGACCACTGGACCTGCTTACAACAGGCAGGTTCCCTTATAGGCAGGTTTCTCTTCACTGGCTTACAGCTGCTGGTGCCTCGAGACCCAGTGTGGGTATCAGACCCTGCAGGGAGCTTTCCTTGACCCCATCCCGCTTCCCAGACCTGGCTGAAGCCCCACCTATGTGCTGTCATAGCAACGTGGACTTACTCCCTTCCAAACACACTCCATGCTCTATTTACTCGTCTGCCTCTGCCATTGGACTGCAAGGGCCTTGAAGGGAAGGACCTCATGCCCGAGTGACTAGGCCCAGCACAGTGGTGGAGGGTTTTCCATAAGTACTGCATGAATAGTAGGAAGCTGCAAGGGGGTCCAATGCCCATGCAACAGTAAAAATAGCTTTATAATTTCTTTAATAACACTTTAAACTGCTATATGCACTCTCTAATCCTACAGTTGGGATGGGGTTGAAAGTGGCCCGGACTTTTTCAGTCCTCAGCACATGAGTGTACGACCAGAGTCCTCACTGAGAGCCTGAGGCTGAGCTCAAATGCGGCCTCCTTGTGTCCTTCCCACTGTTCACATGGCTGTTTCCCTGCTACGCAAGTTTGAATTTTCTTTTCTTAGTGTAAATCCCTTCCCTTCTGATTCCTATTTCACAGCTTCTTTTGGAGGTGACAGTGCCTGCTTCTGTCTGCCTGGTGCCCCTTTCTGGGCCTTGATGGTCCTTTGGGAAACCACTCCTTTTCCAGCTTCAGCAGAAGTGGCTTTGATCGAAATGACCTCACTTCTGGGTTCCGCAGTTAAATATAAGACCCAGGCCTGACAAGAGTCTTCTGTCCCTCTGGTCACCAGAGGGCTCTGGAGATGGACAAATGACCTGGGTCAGTCCTAAGAGATGCCATCTCGGAATCACCTAGAACTGTTGAGAAGATAAATTCCCTTTCCACTGGGATGGGGTACACAAATCCAACATGGGCCTGAGGGCACCATGTGCGAACAGTCAGAGGGCCTGCCTGAGACAAAAGACCATACAGAGAACAGATCCAAGAGACCAAATGAGAAAACAGACGCACAAAACGAGTTGCGCCCTGCTGTCCTTGTTCCACCTTCTGCATTTACTTGGGCCTGAGGCTCCTGGTCTTTCCAATTCCATAAGCCAACGCCTTTCCCCCTTCTTAAGTTTAAGGCAGTTTGAAATTGATTTTTGTTAATTGCAACAGGAATAGTTCTGACCAACACAGAGGATGAGAATGCTACACACTGCTTAGCCCATCGTCAGCCTGCAACAAATGTTCTTTCCCTTCTCTGGTCAAAGAAATGATGGTGACTCGAACTGTAAGGCATTGGCTCATGGGCCCACTAATCCCCACTCCATCTGACTCAGCTGCACCTCAGTCACGCTGAGCCTTCACAGTATGTAGGAGTGAGGCCTACATCCTAATGGTTCAATAAGCTTATGTGTTCCAAAGTGAAGATGTCCTGTGTTTAAAACCAGGGTATACCACTTCCTGCAGGACCCTAGGCAAGTCACATGATCTCCATGAGCTTTTGGTCCCTTACTTTTAAAATGGAAGTAGTAAGAGTCCCTACCACAAGGATCTGTCTTACGAGTCACACGAGATGGTGCCATCCAAGTGCCTGGTACTAGACAAGAACCCGGCGAACACGAGCAAGCACTGACCATCATTGTACAGTGAGAGACAAGTGCACAAACAGAATTCAGAAACATCGGGTTTCATTTTCTACTATTTCATGAACCCATGAAATTGCAGTGTCGACAGCTCTAAGTGAACACACTCAGAAACCGGAACAACAGCTGCAAAGGGTCAGTCCTTGGTTGTAGAAGCTGCCACCACAGTAAGCTGGTTTCGACCCCCGGGTGCCAGGCCTGACAACTGCGGAAACGATCCAGGAGGCTTTGATCTGCCTCAGTGCTCTGCTTATGTCAAGCCTATTTGTCAGTCACCCGCTCTCACTGTGCCTCAAAGGGCGGAGAGCGCACTGTTGTCCTCGCTTCCAAACAGCATCGCCCAAGGGAAATGCACGTCTCTTCTGCATTCACCAATTTTCTGTGTGAGCTCCCCAATGCTTCTTTCACATTCATAATTAGAAAAAAGTTGGACAGAAAGAAGGTCCTTGTCCCCTCTAGGCTGTTCTCATGCTTAGCCAACTCACCCATCCTAATGCTAATTCAGCTTTGCTTTCCTTGCTCTGGACGATCTTCTCCATCACACTCACTTTTGTGTACTGGCATCAGGAGTTTGGAAAAAGCTCACAGGCCAAGTCTAGTGGGTGATGTTTAAAGCTCTGGCTATTTTAAACCAAGCTTTGAATATATAAACATACATATACATGAACATGTGTGTATATATGAACATTATAAGCGTGTGTGTGTATTTTATATATATATATATTAGCTGAGCCATCCTGCCACCTGTTGGCTGCTCAGCTTGGGCTGAGAATCGAACCGCTGTTGCTCAGAGCTCACACTCTTGAGCGAGGTCTTAAACAACTGAGCCATTCGGCCGGCCTTATAAGTATATTTTAAACATGAAATTTTATTGTATTAGTCAATGTAGGTTTTCTATTTAGAGTCAGGGTTTTTCAAAAGTATAAACAGCTGTCATTTTCTAAGAGGAAATACATCCATGGAAGGATCTTAAAGCACTCTTTACTACATTTCACCCTCCTTCCTACAAGCAGCCTGTGGTCAACACACCTGTTTTGGGCAGCCTGGTCTCCATGTCTGCTTGGCCAGTGACCTGTTCTGGGGTGGGCAGAGTACCAAAGGGATCAACCAGAAACAAGCCTGAGGTTTCTGCTAGAACTGCATGGAATAGGAACTTTTTAACGCTGAGACTGCTAAGCTAGGGTCACCCAGCTGGGGGCAGCTGTGGCCCCCCCTGCTCCTGCGCAGGGGTCTCACACAAAAACCACACATCCCCTAGCAGAGCCAAAAGACACTCGAGCACACCTTTCACTACTTCCACATGCTTAGTTAAACCCATGTTAGGCAACCTCCAACTTACAAACGGGCTCCAGACAAGTACTTGCTTATAAACCACTTTGTTCTGGGGAAGGGATGACTTGGAGGTGAATCTAGTGTTCCCAGGTTCACCCCACAACACAGTGTAATTTACAAAGCCGCCAGCCTGTGGTTGCTATGAGACACCTGGGCAAGCCTGAGATGACCCTTTCTTCATTCCCTTGTAACATCCAATTGAGAGGAGACCCAAAGAAACACCATCAATCTGTCAGGGGATTCTGCTGACCTCCAGTCAATTCCCATCACCTGCACAGCTACCCTCATCTAAGCCACCATCACTTCATTTCTGGACCAGTAGCCCCCTAGCTGCTGGCCTCTCTACTTCTGCCCCTGCTTCTCTTCAGCCTCTGCAAAACAGCAGCCAAGTAATCCTGAAATCAGCTCACAATACTCTTGTGTACCAAACCCTCCTTTGTAGAGTAAAAGGCAATGTGTTTATAATGGCCTGCAAGGCTGTACATGACCCGACTCCCTTCCACCCTGTTTCTTCCTGACACCCTCTCCTACCACTCTCCCCCCACACTCATGTGCTCCAGCCACATTCACCCCTTGCTATTACTAGGACACGCTGCCCATCCTCCCACCTCAGGGCCTTTGCACGTGCTGCTTCCACTACTTGGAGCTTGCCTCAGATGGAGCCCATTTGATGCCCTCTTCCTTTAGGTCTCTGCTCAAACATCACTTGCCAGTTAGGCCTTCCTCAAGCACGCTGAACACTCACCCCTAAGCCCCAGATACCCCTCCCTTTCCAGACTTAGTTTTCTCCATTACATACTCAACACCATTGTAGGTATTATACTATATTTTACTTACTAGCTTTCTTTATTGCTTGTCTCCCTCACTAAAATGTAAGCTCCATGAAAGCAGGGATTTTTGTCCAGTTTGCTCCCTTTTATTATCACCAGTACCTAGAAGCGTGTCTGGCACACAACAGGGCTCAAAATGGACTGAATAAATGGAAAGGAGGGAGGGGTGCACATGTAACACCTGTTTATCACTGATGAAGCCAGTTAGGTAAAGAGCAGAAGCCTCCTATATTCGTCTGGGAAGTGAGAGCCAGGCCAACCAGTAGACCAGCCTGCCTCACTCAGCACCACTGGCTGAGTATGTGACTGACAAACAGCATTTCCAAGCAGAAGCTGCAAGCAGGCTTGCAACGGGAAATAGTGAGAACCCGTTCAGGGGCAGTGATAAGGACGGCTTACAATCAGCCAATTTTATCTTATATGTGCTCAATGCCACATAACATGCTCGATGTGTTCCTATCATCCCATTTTCAGCAAAAGGCTATGAAAAAAGGTAAGGTAAAGAGGAGTTCTTATACCACAAAGTGAGGCATGATTTCCAAGAAACTGGAAATGCTATGAAACTTGTGAAGTCATTTTGCAGGTGTAGACACTAAAGCTCAGAGTGGAAATGAGATTTGAATCCAGCAAGTAGCAGGGCTGAGATTTGAACCTGGATCTCCCTGAGTCCCAAGCACAAGCTTCTTTGGTACTAAACCCAGGAGCTCCTCATCCGTGCATGGAACTTAATAGTGGTTCCAACCACTGGCTTCTTCCAGATAGAAGTGGGTCTCCCAGGTAGTGTCACTAGAAACACTTCGCTGCCTTACCTTTTAGAAGGAAGGGGCCAGGGGCTTCCCCTCCCACTCCCAGGGCAGCGTGCTTCCAGCAGAAGCTGTGTCATCCCCCCCCCCCCCCCCCCCCCCCGCCGTAAGGGCTGCCTGGCCGGCTCACTCACCTCCAGTAAACTAGCACAGCAATGAGAAGGATGAGGCACACGAAGGTCAAGGCTGACACCACAATCAGGGGGATGATCCACTCCATCCTCCCTGGAGACGGGCGGCTGATCATCCCAGAGGTGTTCTTTTCTGCTGCAAAGAGAAACCATGCCGGTTAGAGGACACAGGCTGGCAGAGGCGGGGAGCCAGCACGTGGCGCGGGGCTCTGCTCCGGTTTGGGAGCTTTAGAGACGTGGGCTCCCACTCTGCCTGCCTGATGACAGCAGGGCCATCTGCAGCCTGCACTGTTTCCTGCTGAGTCCCCACTCCAACAGGGCCTTTTCTGCCGGCTGCATTCTGCAATCGCCAGCGTTCAAGATGTTTTTAAAGAGAGCCATGCGGAAGACAGACATCCAACCTCTCTCCAAGAACATTACGAACCAGGGTGGCCCTTGGACACACCGCAGAAACGTGCCCAGCCTGAAGGCAGCACCACACCTGCCTCTGGAAAGGGGCAGAGGAGCCTCTCAGGTTCACTTGTGCCAGGGCGTGAGAAATGGCGTGATGGGTTTTGCTAAGATAACCAACTGTGAAGACAATGGTTATGTCTTTTCTTGGCCAGCTTAGCAGCCATTACCCCTTCCCCTAGTAACTGCACCCCAATTCTGCTTTGAGAAACCGCCTCTCCCTAACAGAGAGTCATGGTGGGACAATCGTCCAAATGTGGGGCTCCCATCTCCCAGCCAAAGATAAATGTGGGCGTCAAGTTAGGAGAGCGGCACGCTTGCCCTGGAATCTCAGCCAGCCAGCGCCCAGATTGTTCTGCCCATCCGTTCCCAACCCCCAGATCCCTCGAGATCCGATTTCTTCTCAAATTTGGTTCTACAGCGTTTCCTTTCATTGCATTACCCTCCCCCACCATCCTCCTAATAGATCTAAGACAACTGAAGGTAGGAAGCCATGCCTCACTCTGCTCCCAGCACACAGCTTTCTCCAAATAGCAGTCTAGGGGTTCACAGCGCAAGCCTGTGAAACAGCTCAAGGGTCTCTCTGGCTCACCAACACCTCTTACCCGAGCAGCTCCCTCCTCTGCCCGATCTCTTCACAAGTCCCCAGGAGCCTCTGAGGACCTGTTCTCTCTTGTGAGCGTGGGGAAGGTGCCTGGAAATCTCCAGGTGGCCCAGATGAAGCTCAGGTGTGGTGTGGGGGTGGGACGAGCACAGGTGCACAGAGCAATAGTGGGAGGCAGGTGGCGAGAAAGCAAAGGTTAACGGTAACGACAGGGAGAAGCCCCAAGAAAAATCCAAAGCAGGCGGCAGGCTGACTTGTGCTCAGCAAGGATTCCTCCTGCTCTGCAAAAACGAGGCCAACGTTCAGCCAGCGCCGCGTGTCCCCCTGCAGGATGGACTGAAGGCAGGGCAAATCAGGCTGGGTTTCCAAGTGAGAGAAGGTAGGCTGAGCAGAAAGAAACAACTGGCCTTGGGAGCAGATTTTTAAAGAGGCAAGGTTCCTGAGCGATGGTGTGTGTTGCAGGGCCTTTCACCGGGTTTCCTCGAATGTAGCTTATCGTGATCGCCTCCTCTGTCTCATGCCGGACCCTGTGAAACAGGCCGGGCCACATTTATGCTCAGCTCCCAGGTAAGATGACAGAGGCAGGCAGGTGAGGAACACCCTGATGAAAAACCACAACGGAGCGCTTCACAGTTTATAAAGTGCCTTCCGAATATGACAGCCCATGGCTCTCGACCCCTAGCTCCACCATGTTTTGGTAGATAGCTACAGGCATACCTCGAGATAGTACGGGTTTGGGTCCAGACCGCTACCACAAAGCAAGTAGCACAATAAAGTGAGGTGTCATCTTTCTACTGGTGGAGGGTCTTGCGTTCAATTGGCCAAAAACACAACATTGGTGAAGCGCAATAAAGTGAATGCACAAAACGAGGTCTGCCTGGACCTACCAAACCCCTGGTGTGTGCCAGGCATGGTGCTAGGGGCTGGGGATGCATCCGAACATTAGACGGGAATGACCCTATGCCGGTGGGTGGGAATCATTTAAAGCGGGAGAGGCAGACAGGGGGAATGAACAAGTTATTAGAATACAATGAATGTAACACCAGGAGAAGCACAAAGGAAACGGGGGAGTAGCTGTCCTAGCCCAGGGATTCTAGAGGGGGCTCCCTGACATTAAGGTGACACCTGGAGGACAAAGGGGAGTGCGCTGGGCCAAGTGCAGGGGAAGAAACATATTCCTGATCGAGGACACTAAAGCATGGGAGTATGAGAACGAGGCAGAGGGGGACCAAGCTGGAGAGTCAGAGGCCACATCAGCCAGGGCTTTGGAGGCTGAATTAAGAACTGGTTTTAGTCCCAAGGGCAGCGGAAGCTCGTACAGGGTTGCAAGCTGAGGCAGACAAGGATCAGGCATGCACTCTCTTCCTTGATATAATGCTGCAAGGGCAAAGCTCTGGCGACGGGCCAGGAAGCAGTTGCAAATGAGAATAATTTTGCAGGGCTCCAGCAGGGGGCAGCCCGGCTAGCCCGGTATCTGACTGGTGGGGGTGGGGGGGGTGTATCTCCAGGACCTGGAGGTCCTGCTAATGGAAAATATGGCAGGAGGGTTGAACTCAGTATCCACCCTGAGAGGCCCTTGTGTCCTGGAGGGACTCCCAATGTCATATTTCTTGCCCCACCTTACAGGAAAGCACTCTTGCCTGGGATACTACCTGGAAGGCAGGCAGGGCAGGCCGACTGCAAATCTATGTCCTACTCATCCGAAACCACTGACAAGGGCTCTGGGCCAAAATAGTGCCTCACACTAATATCTCTACACAATCACTGGAAACAGCAGCTCCGTGGTCTTTCTGCCACCCTAAAACCGGTCAACAGCGGCCACTCCAGAATTTCTGGGCCTTAGAAGTGATGGCCCAGTAGTGGGGGCGATTGGCACATTGCATTAGTGTCCCTGAGATCCCATGTGTTGGCCATTACGTCTGCCCCTCCGTCCTCCCTCACAGAGGATTCCAATTTTCACCGGATGCCTTGGGAGCTCCAGCAGATAAAACTGTGAACCATCAGTGTGGATTCCTCCTTGTCAGAGGAGAATGAAGGTCGGCTGAGGGTAGGGTTCCTCATAAGTCACAGCTAGCCTGGGGCCAGGAAGAGGCTCAAACTCAGGTTTTACAACGGAGTCTCTTCTCTTTCCAGCACTTCCTCAGGCTTGAGTGAAAAATTTTTGGGGGGGAGGGGGTGACCATCAAGTGAAATCCCACTCTGGACAGTCCCCAAATGGCAGTGTTTGCGGAGGAGATCTCGAGTCGGCAACAACTTGCAGTATGAGGGAGACCTAAGGAGATTATTCTGACAGCAGCTTGATCGCCACCCTGACTCACAGCAGGCTGTGTCTGGGTCTTTTACATAACGGCCAGGCAAAAATGCGAGTGCTACAGGATTTCCACGGGAGGCAAAATAAAGTGGATTTCATTTTCAAATTCACAGTATTGTTTTGTCTTCATGGTACCAGGAGCCTCAATGACATTCCATCTCCACATAACCACTGAAACCTTCTGTCAGTCTCCGGAGGAATTCCTCGCTGCCCTCAGGGGCAGCCAAGCCCCTAGGAGCAGGGTCTCCGTCCCACCCCATCATCCCCTGCCACTCCCCACCAGTGTTCCTGCCACACCCACCCACCCAGTGACATGCTGGCCAGTCCCACCTATCTGCCTCTGTCCCTGCGGAGCCCACTGCCAGGAATGCCTTTCCCATCCTGCTACCAGAAGCTCCTGCTGAACCCTGCATCTGGTTCAGGTGTCGCCCGGCTCTGTGAAGCCTCCCCGAGGCCTTGGTCTGTGCTGTCTCTGGAGGGCACAGGTTCAAATCAAATCCTGACTCTTCTACTTGATGTGACATTTAACCAATAACTTAAATCAGTTTGGGCCTGGGGTTCTTCATCTATAAAATGGGACATGAGAACCTACTTTGTAGGCATGGTGGGAAAATTCTATGAGACTAGAATGCTTACAAGTGTGGCCAGCCCTGAGGAAATGCTCAGGACACACTATCACCGTCCTCGTCATCATCATCTTGCACTTCTCTGACCGCACATATCACAATCATCACTGCTTTTTTATTACTGTAAGGTCCCCCAAGGTAGGCCTGATTTTCATCTCTACATGGAAAAGCAGTAATAAAGTTCTGTTGTCTAGAAGCTATGCAACTCCAGGCAAGTTACTTAACCTCTCTGTGCCTCGGTTTCCTCACCTGTAAATGGAGATAATATTGCTCACTATATTGTGGGGGCATGAGGATCAAATAAGTGGGTACATATAACACTGAGAATGTTGTCTGGCACCCATAGGCACCCGGTTAAGGTTATCCATTAGGATTACCATCATCGCCACACACAGCACTGCTCTTTATCACTGTCACCATCAACACCCAGCACAGCACCAGGGCAGACGGAGCCACCACACAGGACCTCAGAGCCTGCTGGGCCTGAGCACCGGGGGCTGCCTGTAAGGAGTCTGCCGGACCACAGCCAGAACCCCAAGGTTTGCCCTGAGACAAGGGCATAGCACACTTCTCACCATCCTTCAGAAGGTACACTTGTCCTGCTGCCTGACTCAGTTTGTGGCTTAGCAGGCCCTCAAAGGGGAAAGTGCCACAGAAGAGTGAACTACTAGGAGCTACGAGGAACACGGAACATGGCACCTGGGCTGGGTACACACTCTTCCTCCTGTGCCTTCAGTCCCCTGACATTCTTTCCCAACCAAGGTCCCCAGAGACTGGAACCATTTTCAGTGCAACCGAGATTCTGTCCTTCAGTGTCAGGATCTGACATGATTTCACATTCTGACTCAGGCCTTTCTAGCTGTGTGACTTTGGGTAAGTGACTGCATGTCTCTGGGCCTCTGATCTCTCTATCAAAGGAATACAGATGATAAGCTCAACTCTCAGGGGACTTATGAGGATTAAATGAGATAATCCATGTGAAACAGACTGTGTAAATTATGGCTCTATAATTTACAGGGCCACACGCAAAATCATGGGGCCTCTTGTGAAAAAATTATTGAAGACTTTCAAGATGGTGACAGCAGAGCAGGAAAGTAAGCACAGGGCTTCGTGCGACTGAAAGCACAGGTCCCGTGCCCACGAAG